TTGCACTCTTTAACCTAGGCCAGGCCTAGTTTCCTAATCCCAGTCCACGCACCCCACTGAAACTGCCATAGACACAACCTCGCAGGCGATCCCCTCAGGGCAATTCCAAGCCTCTTGCCTAGCCCTGGGGGTGGAGCCAGAATCGCTGCTCCCTTCTCCTCCTCCAGGTCGGGTTGGCGAGCATGGGTGGGGGTTTGCCTGCGGGGCGCGCCGGGCCGCTGGAGAGAGGGAAACCAGGTCCCTCTGTGTCTCGTCACCCGAAACACGAACTCGCAGGCAAATCTCCCAGTTTTTAAGCTCTTCGCCTTCCCTCTAGAGTTCCAGCCAGCCAGGAGTGCAGAGGCCCGGTACACACGCCGTCCCTCCAGGGGTCCAGCCAGCGAGGAGCACAATGCGCGGAGATGCGCAGCTCGTCTAAGGGTCTAGCCAGCCAAGAGCACCAAGAAGTGGTCAGCGCGCAGCCCCTCCGGGACGAGTTGGCGTGCAGGGACCTGGCACACAGGCGCCCAAGGTCCTTCTGTGCCCCGAGCGGAGGTTTTTCTGTTTCCCAGCGACAGGGACCGTGTCTTGAGAGGTTTCAGACTCTCTCTTTTTCCCTCTCACTCCCCACAGAGGGGGAGAGCCCCCGTCCCTTGAGTCTCCGGTCCCAGCCTGATTTTATCTTCCCCAGTTCGCACTCACGTTAGAAGTCTTTCTCAGTGGATTCTGCATCCTTTTTCTCCCAATCTCTTGGGTTCTGTCAGGTTTCCTATGGCTTCAGATCTTTTCCGTGTAAGATATGGGGGTGAGTGCAATGTACGAAGCTCCCTACTTCTCTGCCATCTTGCCTCCTCTCTCTGTTCCGTTTGATTATATCACTCCGCTCTCGAACTCTCCTTTTGTGTTCCTGGATCAGTTTATCTCTCTTTTCCTCAGCTTTCCCTTTTTCTATAATGTGTCTTCTAATTCACCTATTCTCCTCTCTGCCTCCTCAATCCGTGCATTTGATGCCTCCGTTTTATTATGCATCTCATTTATAGGATTTTTAAATTCATCACAACTATTTTTAAGCTCCATAGTCTTTGTAGCAATAGTTTCTCTGATGCCTTCTATGCCTTTTTCAAGCCCAGCGATTAAGTTTATGACTATTGTTCTAAATTCTTGTTCAGTTTTGTTGCTAATATCTGTTTGGAGCAGTTCTTTAGCTGTCATTTCTTCCTGGAATTTCTTTGGAGGAGAGTTCTTCCATTTGTCATGTTGGTTAGCTTTCTATCTCTTATTAGTTTTAAAAGCTTGTTATGCACTCTGCATCTGCGAGTACTGCTGTATTAAAGAAGGTTCTTTGAGTGTCCAGGGGCTGTCCGTTCAGGAAGTGTTCTTTCAATGGTGTCTCTTGGTCTCTCTTGTTGAGACATTGGTTATTTTACTACCCTACTCGTAGTGGTATTTAGGACTCTCCCCCATGTGTACTTTGGCTTGTTTCTTGAGGTAGCCTTCAGCTTCAGACCTGGTCACTTTTCCATTTTTCTGTTTCTCTCCTGTTCCCTTCTTCTTTCTCCCTTAACACCTGCTCTCAGAAAACCCCTGAGGGTCTGGCCCCAAACAGTGCACTCTGGCTCACCCGCCTTTTATTCCTTCTCCCTCCATCTGCCTAGTCTTTTACTCATTCATCATTCATTTTTCATGTATTTTTATTTCTTCATTGCCTTTCATATTTTCAGAATCATATTATATTTTTCTAATTTTTCATAAAATTATTAAAATTGTCTTTTAATCTTATTTCTACAGTTTTAAAATTTTAGGTGATTTTATTTTATATCTATAAAAGCCTAGAGTATGACTCTTATTCACGTTTTCTAGATCTTTGTTTGATTTCCCATTTGTTTGGTATAGCTTCAAGCTCATCTTTTATTTCTTTAAGCAGTGCTGGTTTTCAGTCTGTATGTGATGATTCTAGTATATAATTCTTTGTTAATCTGTTTCTGTTTTTCTTATATCTCCTTATTCAAACAAATAGAGTTTTGTTTCTTTGCATGCCTGGTTATATTTGGCTATGTATTTAAAAAATGTTGAAAATTTTGAAGTCTCTTTACCTTTTGGATACAGGTTCTTTCCTCTAAAGAGAAATGAGTTGTTTATGCTAGGCTTCTGAGGGTGAAACCAGTCCATGATCGCCAGATCCAAGCACTGAAGTTCTCTGCAAGATATAGACAATTCCAGTATAATATATAACCCTGAACCCTATTTCAGAGTTAACTTTCTCCATATGTGTTCATATATGTTCTACCATGCATGCTCATTGATCTCTTCAGTCCTATTTTCCTAAAACTTTAGCCTGGTAGTTTAGTATCATTGTTGGAGAAAAAATCACATATATCTGATATTAAGTAGTACAATGAGCCAGACCTGTTTATGGTCTCCTTAATTTCTTTAAGAAAGGATCTACTGAAAAAATTTTTTAAATATTTTCTTTATTTTTGAGAGACAGAGAGAGACAGCAAGAGCAGGGGAGGATCAGGGAGAGAGGGAGACACAGAATCTGAAGCAGGCTCCAGGCTCTGAGCTGTCAGCACAGAGCCTGACATGGGGCTCGAACTCATGAGCAGTGAGATCATGACCTGAGCCGAAGGTGGATGCCCAACCAACTGAGCCACCCAGGTGCCCCAAGAAAGGAGCTACTTTTAAAGGGGTGGTGGAAGTTGAGATAAGAATGTAATTTAAAAATATATAAACTTATTTTTAAAAGCCATAAAGAAAAGAATTAGACTACATAAAGACTAAGAAAAAAAGACCTATTCAGAAAGAAGTCATAAAGAAATTCATATGTCTAAAAGAGGGAAAAAGTACATGTATCACAAAAAGCTAATTAAAAAAATTTTTTTAATATGAGAGACAGAGAGATAGAGCATGAGCAGGGGAGGGGTAGAGAGAGAGGGAGACATAGAATCCGAAGGAGACTCCAGGCTCTAAACTGTCAGCACAGAGCCTGACGTGGGACTTGAACCCACAAACTTTGAGATCATGACCTGAGCCAAAGTTGGACGCTTAACTGAGCCCCCAGGTGCCCCAAAAGCTAATTTTTTTTTAATGTTTTATTTATTTCTAGGAGAGAGAGAGACAGCATGAGCAGGGGAGGGTCAGAGAGAGAGGTAGTCACAGACTGAAACAGGCTCCAGGCTCTGAGCCGGCAGTCAGCACAGAGCCCGACGTGGGGCTCGAACCCACAAACCGCGAGATCGTGACCTAAGCGAAAGTCGGACGCTTAACCGACTAAGCCACCCAGGCGCCCCCAAAAGCTAATTTTTTAATATCATAAAGGTCTCACAAATCAATAAGCAAAAGGTAAACTTCTCAAAAGGAAAATGACCAAGGCTATATTAGGCATCTCACAGAAAGAAAAACTACATGCGCACGTGCACACACACACACACACACACACGTCCAATTAATAGATGAAAAGGTGTTCAATATCACCCATAATTAAGACTATGCAAATTAAAACAACAATGAATTTTTCACTTATGAGATTGTTAAATTTAGCTCATCAGAAAGTTTAAAAGTTGACAAGAATACCTACCTTATTTATTTATTTATTTATTTTTGAGCGAAAGAGAGTACACAAGGGGAGTGGCAGAGAGAGAGGGGGATGGGATCTGCTGACAACAGTGAGCCCAATATGGGTCTTGACCTCACAAACTATGAGATCATGATCTGAGCTGAAGTCAGATGTTTAACCAACTGAGCTATACAGGTGCCCCTAGTTTGTTTTCTTTTTATGTAATGACTATGTAACTATATAATCCAGATAGAATGTGTTTGTGTGTGTGTGTGTGTGTGTTTCATTTTTGTTTTCATTGCTGCTGTTTAAAGAAGTGGTTCCTTTTAAATAGCTTTTCACTAATGAAGTTATTCTTTTTTTCTGATATCCTTTGATTGGACTTAGATCCTTGCATGATGTGTAGCTCTTCCCGGATATACTTGATATAGTTACTTTAAGAATCAAGGGCACATGGGTTAAGCATCTGACTTTGGTTCATGATTTCATGGCTGGTGAGTTCAAGCCCTGAATTGGGCTTTGTGCTGATAGCTTGAAGCCTGGAGTCCACTTCACATTCTGTGTCTCTCTCTCTCTCTGCGGCTTCCCTGCTTATACTGGGTCTCTCCCTCTCTCTCAAAAATAAACATTAAAAAAAAGAATCAGAATTCCAGCGGCCCCTGGGTGGCTCAGTCGGTTGAGCCTCTGACTTCCACTCAGGTCGTGATCTCATGGCTGTTAGTTTGAGCCCTGCATTTGGCTCTGTGCTCTCAGTGCAGAGCCTGCTTTGGATCCTCTGTGTCCCTCTCTGCCAGTCTCCAAATTGTGCTTTCTCTCGCTCCCAAAAATAAAATAACATTAAAGAAAGAGGGTGCTGTGTGGCTCTGGGTAGCTTATTCAGTTAAGCAGCGGACTCTTAATTAGGTCATGATCTCATCTCATCGTTCATGAGTTCAAGCCCCACATTGGGCTCTGTGCTGACAGTGTGGAACCTGCTTGGGAATCTCTCTCTGTCTCTCTCTCTCTCTCTCTTTCTCTGCCCCTCCCACTCACTCTCTCTCTCTCTCAAAATAAATGAGTAAACTTAAAAAAAAGCAATTTCTTAAAAAAAAAAGGAATCAGATTTGCAATTCATGTTTGGAATAAAGATGAGGCATATGATATAATTCTAAAACTCAAGTACCCTCTTGTTCAGGCTTTAGGATTTTAAAATATTACAAGGAAGAAACAGTCTTGTCACACGTACCATAGCAATTCATATTTTATGTGTTTTTTACAGTGACCAAATAAGATAGTCTGATTCCCTGTAACTACACCAGACATAATACTTAAGTTTACTGATCATGTCTGATCTGTGGATTGATAGGGAAGAAAAAGAATAAAATGTCTAGTACTTGTGCTATCACTTTATCTTGGGGAAAAATAGCCTAGTAGCATCATTCTAGAAAAAAATCTCAAAGTGTATTTATACTTTGTTAATTTCTAGGTGAAAAAATATTTTTATCTCTGTATGGAGCTGCCATAGACATGAATATAAGACTGGACAGGAATTCCTTGATCATTGAGAAAACCTACATATCTCTGACCAGCCAGCGAAATATAACTATTCACAACCGCAGTAACATCATTGCACATTTCCAGTGGAAGATATTTGCTACCCAGGAAGAAGAAGACAGAGAAAAGTATAGGTTTGTAAGAAAAATTGCCAATATGCTATAATTTGGGAGACCTCAAAGCTCAGTTATTATGAAAAATCAGTGACTTTTGTGGTAAGTTTTTAACAACTCAAACAAGGTCTTAGTTCTAGTGTATGTTGCACGTTTTTTCATTTAAAGAAAAGAATTAAAATATTTTAATTTCACTTAAAGAATTTCATTTAAAAAGCTATGTGGAACACAGTATTGCCCATCCCCTGTTAATCTTAACCTGGGTGTAATTTATTAGTAGCTAAACTCCTGGATTTTAAAGACTAAATATATCATGGGCACGTAGGTATCTCAGTAGGTTAAGCATCCGACTCTTGGCTTTGGCTCAGGTCAGGATCTCACAGTTACGTGGGTTTGAGCCCCAGGTTGGGCTCTGTGCTCACAGTGTGGAGCCTGTTTGTGATTCTCTCTTTTTCCCCCTCTTTCTTCCTCTCCCCCACTTGCACTGTCTTTGTCTCTTTCAAAATAAATAAATAAACTTTAAAAGAAAAATAAAGACCGAGGCGCCTGGATGGCTTAGTCGGTTAAGCGTCCAACTTTCGCTTAGGTCATGATCTCGCGGTTCGTGGGTTCAAGCCCCGCGTCGGGCTCTGTGCTGACTGCCAGCTCAGAGCCTGGAGCCTGTTTCAGTCTGTGACTCCCTCTCTCTCTGACCCTCCCCTGCTCATGCTCTCTCTCTCTCTCTCCTAGAAATAAATAAAATATTTTTAAAAAAATTTTTTAAATAAAAAAGAAAAGAAAAATAAAGACCAAATATGTTATTTTTTCACCATTCTTTCAAAACTAACCTGCAGGTCTGTAGTTTGTCTTATAACCCTAGTCAGATTGGTTAGATATCATAGTTTCTAAAAATAATCTCTTTTGGATTAGGATCAATGTGGAATTTTTTTCAGTGAAAAAGTATTTCCAAAAAACAGGAAGCATTAGGAAAAAGAAGGGCTTAGATATAATAATTTTTATATTCTCAGTTTTAGTAGCATTGCTCAATCCTTGTTAACCATATAATTTAATAATGATTCCTTGTTGGTATCTTTAATCTTCTACTTTTTAAAATGATACTTCAGACAGTGGAGAAAATTAATAAAATGAAAAGCCAAACTCTTTTAACTAATCTCATCACTGTTAAATTTTGTGTATTTCTTCTTACCGAGTCTGTCCTTGCCTCTTTTAATAAAGTCCAATTTCATTTTTATCTCCTTCCACCCTCCCTGAATTAGCACTTTTGCTGCTTTCATTGGAATTTATTTCAGCCTTTTTTATTTGCCTCTCCATTTTCATTAAAGATTAGCCCTGGGAAGCTTCAAAGCTTTGTTTAAAACCAAGTTAGTATGTGATAAAAATAAAAGTCTTAGGTCCACAGAAACCAGGCAGAAATCCCCCAGTGTGTGCCCCTAATTGAATCAGAAGGAGCTATGACAATGGCAGGACACAGTGGACCAGAGCTTTATCATTCAGACAATAAGCTTTAATCACTGGATTACCACTGTGCCATCTTTAAAAAGTGAGAAAAGAAAAGCCTTTCCTGCCTAAAAACTTCAGTTTGCCTCATAGCATAGAAATACCAGTGGTTCAAAAAGACAAGAGAAAACTGCTCATCTGCTGCTTCATTTGTCCTGATACCCTCGTTCATGAGTGTTCTTGGTCCAAGCATGTTTAAAGATAAAATAGGAAATCAGGTGCAAACACAGAAATGCCAGTAAACACAGTGTTTCAATATCCTGTTTGTCCTGTGGACATAATCTTTTTGGAAGATGGGTACACACTGTCTGAAGGAAAGCCAGCTTTAGCTTCAACTCTGTGTGTTTGACTATATGTATAAGACATGTTGATGGCGTGCCAATGTCCAAAAACTGTTTAAGGGATTTAATTTCAACAGTTAAACTTAAGAAAAGTTCGAACCAATTATTATCAGAGATACCAGGGATAGAGAATATAATTCCAATGACACACAGATGGACATTTCTTTTTTCCCCTCTACTTTACCTCCCCTTATACTCGTACCCCTATCTCTTTCATATTATTCTGAGGCTTATTCTTCCTTTTCTCTTGTGTTGTCTTTCTTTTATTGTCTCTCTTGCTCTTTCTATTAGTTCCTGTAGCATTTTTTTTGTAACAAAGGAATATTATGAAATAGTATTTCCATAACCATGATTGGAAGCCTCCTTTCATCATCTAAGACCATGCTCCCTCCATTAATAATTAACTTGAAAAGTGGCTTCAGATGACTAAATAAGAATACTTCCAATTTCACTTTGGGTGACACATGGCAGCACAACTCATGTTTCTCCAAACTGGATTGGTTGATCTAAATGAAGAGTTTATTGAGTATGCTACTCCTTCCCTTCTCCCTCCCCCTCTCCTAGGGCCAGATGACTAGGGCAAGATGTAAAACAGAGGGGAAACAAAGTCATTTATGCCCAATTTTTTATTTGATCGGGTGTCTTTTCTCTTTTATGCCTCTCTTTTGCCTTGATATGTCCCCAAATCTGCCACGACTTTTATTTTTTAATGTATTTTTTAAAATCAAAGTTCATGTTATTAATTATGAATTTTTGTCCTGGACATAATGAGCCATGGAATGCCCATCCTCTTGAAAAGCAAGGTAAATGCAATTAGTTTGATCCTCAACTTGGAACAGAGAAGATCTATTCTAAATGGGCTCATGCATACTTTGAGAGACTACGGTTTCCCTTTGTAGCTCCCCAGAGACCTAGAATTTAAAACTTCAGTGTAGATTTTTAGGTGAGACTCAAGAATCTGCCCATTGCTCTCCAGTTATAATATAGCTTAAAACTTGTCCTAAGGCATTCATCTTACAGGGGCTGCAAGTTGCTCACTGTGAGGTTGAGAATGCTAATTGCTTTCATGGATAGTCTCAAGACCCTATTCTAGCCATTGTGGTTTCTGTCTTGATGAATCCAGCATCTTGATGATGTGGCCTGAGTCAAGACTCGGAGATCTCTTTTCTCTGTGGAGGAATTTCATCCTTACTCAAGAATAAGAAACCTTATTTCTTTCTGACAGTTTATTATTTCCATTCTAAGAAGGATGACTTCCTCTTTACCTACCAAAACATATTGGTACCAACCTTAGGACACATGTCCATATTTGAGGACCTTGAGCTAATCCCAGGCTCTAGACTTTGACAATAAAGATATCACTCCCCCTAGGAAGAAATTCTGGGATTTGTTTTGTTTTTCATTTTTTTTAACCTTCAGAATGAGATATATGGACCTTTAAAAAATTATCCTTTGGGTCTTTCTCTTTGTTGATGTTTTTTCTGGGACTTGCAGAGAAATTAATCTCTTCAGAAATGGAAGATTCATTCCTCTTTCCTTGCTTCCTCCTCCTTGTCCTGAGAGATTATAAAACATCCTACAAGATTCTTTCATACTCATTCTCATCACAGTTTATTCTGTTTAGAGACTTGGCATGGGGTTTTGAGGATTTTTGCTTCCTATTTCTCCATGAAGGTCATGGTCATTGTTTTAATAGCATTTGGGTATAATTCTAAGTTTGTTCTATACAAGAACTCTGAGAATCCTCAATGGAACCCCACAAAGTTGTCAGCATGGATTTACTCTACACCATTCAGGTATAGGAAGTGATGTGTTTCTCTAAATAGATCAGTTTTAATTGGACTTTGAACCTGCCATGTGGCTAGTAATAAATTTAATCTTACTTGTGTTTGAGGGGCCCTTCTTTTCTTTAGGGTTGTATAAAAATCTGAAGACTTGAATGGTACTTGGCAAACAGGAAGGAAGACCTCTAGTCTTCAGTTTATAATAGTCATCACAGAGTTGCCTGGTGTCCAGGGTTACATGGTCCATTTGAAGATGGATGGCTTCATATTTTCCATGCCAAGTGTGGATATGGGAGTATTTCTCTCTTGAAGCCCCAGGCCCTTAGTTTTTAATCCCCTCAGCATCCAGTTACTACCTTTTGAGGGTGCTGCAAAGGAGCAGGATCTCCAGGATGAGGGGACATTACTGATTCAATGTTACTGTATGTGAGACACAATTCTTCCACATTTATTATAGTCTATAGGCTTGATGCCTGAAGGTGGCTACCAGACTGTTTGTTAAAAGGGTTAAATCCATGGTTTTACCGAGATAGAAGGCTGAAATGTTATGTTGTTATGAAGTTTCCTCAGTGTAAAACAACCCCCTCTGAATGTAGGAGACCGTGAATATCAGCAGGACAAGATGGCCAAACAATAGACTGAGGTATATTGAAGCCCTTGTTGAAGTCAACCCAGCTCAGGGTGTTGTTGCACGTTCCCTTCTTAGACTCTCAGCCATGGCTCAATTTCTCTAATCAAAGGGCAAAGAAGACATACAGTATATCATGACCCCCTTCACATTATGCAGTTGTTAGTGATTCATGAATCCCAACAGCATGGGAGAAGTGTTTGGGGGAATTTTTGTTTTTTTCTGTTTTGTTTTCTGTTGTAAGGTTTGAGATAATCATTGTCATCAGTTCATGCAGCATTATCCTCAATCCATACAAAACATTTTATCCCCACACTGCATTCCCAATAACCCAATATCCTAAAGAAATGTAATGTTTATGATTCCTATTATTTGTTTAACCAGTCCTTCAGTCTCTCACATCAAATTTACCCACATTTATTGGTGATTTAGCTAGCACTTTGAGAAAATCTTTCTGGCTATGTCATTGTTTTTATCCATGATTGTTTCTTCAGGGTGTATCGTAAAGGTAGATATCAAAAATTCCACTCACAGGAGTAAGTGGTTTTCTTTCTTTCTGTGCATTGAGTTCTCTTTAATTTGTCCCAGCAGAGTACAAGGTTTGCTGTTCTGTTTACCTTGGACACTACTTTCCAGCTAGCAGTGAAAAGGAAGCCTGTGCATCCTGTGATGCTTTCTTCCTTGGGATAAGAACACATTGAACCCATTTCTTTGACTTCTTGATGCTCTGTAACCAAAGGACCCTGAATGCTAAAGTTATTAAAAGAAACTATTTGACATTGCTGTACATACAGTTTTAATGAAGTCATTTAGAAAATAGCTGGGCCTGGGACAGGGATTTGGTGACTCAGGGTTCTTACTGAGCACTCACTTAACTAAATAAATTATCTCTCACCATTGGTAATACCATTAAAATGTTGGGAAAGTGGTCAGACATCCTGGGAGGAGATAGAATTCAGTCATCAAAGTGAAGATGAAGTAACAAATAAGAGGAGTAATACGAGCACAGCTCAAGTGAGGGCAGTGAGCAGAGAGTTGGGGAAGTCTGCTTTTCTGACTTATCACGATGGATGTTAAGAGCTGGAAGGAAAGGGGATTCCTGGGTGGCTCAGTCAGTTAAGTGTTCGACTTCAGCTCAGGTCATGATCTCATGATTTGTGGGTTTGAGCCCCGCATCGGGCTCTGTGCTGACAGCTAGCTCAGAGCCTGGAGCCTGTTTCAGATTCTGTATCTCCCTCTGTCTCTGACCCTCTCCTGTTCATGCTGTCTCTCTCTCTCAGAAATAAATAAAAAACATTAAAAATAAAAAATTTTTAAAAAAGAGCTAGAAGGAGAGAGAAGAGGAGCTGTCTTTAGGTGTGGTTTGAGCATTTTATAAGTTTGACAGCTTGGTAATTGCCTATGGTTGACCCAGGGAGAAAACTTATTTATTGAGTACCTGCTTTGTCCTAGGAACTACACCAGGTCCTTAACCATGTTGAATCTTCAACATATTTATGATGAGGGAACTTCTATTATTTCTGTTTTTAAGGTGAAGGCACTTAGGCTTCGATAACCCCCAAAGTCACAGAGCTAGTAAATGGTAGTAGAATCAGTAACCAAGACTGGTCCTTGTTGGTCCCAGATTCTGTTTTCTAGGGGACTAACCGCTAAGAAGGAATCAGAGCTAAGCAGGAGCTCCTGGGTGGCTCAGGCCATGATCTCACAGTTTCATAAGTTCAAGCCCTGTGTTGGGCTCTGCACTGGCAGCACAGAGCCTGCTTGGGATTCCCTCTCTCCATCTCTCTCTCTGTCTCTCCCTCATTCATGCTGTTTCTGTCTCTGTCAAAATAAATAAATAAATAAACTTTTTAAAAATGCTAGGCAGGGGTGCCTGGGTGGCTCAGTCAGTTAAGTGTCCGACTTTGGCTCCAGTCATGATCTCACGGTTTGTGGGGTTAAGCCCCACGTTGGGTTCTGTGCTGATAGCTAGCTCAGAGCCTGGAGCCTACTTCAGATTCTGTGTCTCCCTCTCTCTCTGACCCTCCCCTGCTCATGCCCTTTCTCTCTCAGAAATAAATAAAACATTAAAAATTTTAAAAAAATAAAATAAAAATGCTAAGCTAGTTTAAAAAGAAACAAAATTGTTTTTCAAGTGTAAGAGGCAGGGTAGATGTTATTTAAAAAGCATTCTGGGAGGGGTGCCTGGGTGGTGCAGTTGGTTAAGCGTTAGACTCTTGATATAAACTCAGGTCGTGATCTCATAGTTCGTGAGTTCAAGCCCTGCATTGGGCTCTGTGCTGATTGTGCAGGGCCTGCTTGGGATTCTGTCTCTCCCTTTCTCTGCCTCTCCCCTGCTCGTGGTCTCTCTCTCTCAAAATAAATAAATAAACTTTAAGAAAAGTAGACTGGGAAACTTAATTACCTGCAAGAAAATAATATTTGTGTAAATATACATAAGGGCTCAGGAGTAAGTAAATGGGCATTGAGTGGAACAGGAAACCCGGGAGGGCTTATTGAAGGAAGTGACTAACCTATCGGCAAACTGATACTCTTGAGAGATTAAAGTCCAAAGTCACCCAGCTTGTATGTTACAGACTTAGGGCAAGGAGGGACCACCTCAGGGTGATGGGCAGACCACTTCCAGGAGGACAGACCGGAGGGGAGCCCTTTACAATGTTCTTCATGGGAGTATCAAAATGAATCTCACATTTTCTCTATTTTCTTTAGGGTCTGTGATGATCTGAGCAAAGAGGAAAAGAATGAGACTGATGAGTTTCTTGAAGAGTGCATTACTGATCCTTCACTCCGAGAACGTCTTTCCATTCTGTCCCGCACCTTTGAGAATCAGAGAAAGCTGGTTCAGGAAGACAGCATGCTCTTCTTGAATGATATTTTCACTATTGAGCCACTGGTAAGCACATAAATAAAATCTGACTGTACAGGAGACATAAATGGGGGCGCAGGGCTTATTTTGATTAAATTACTCACTCTGAAATTGGTAACAGTGAATTTTGAGACCATCAAGATTTCAATTGAAAGCCTCATATCATTATGAGACAATGAATAAAGGCTAATGGTAAGAATGCTTACAGGTCATATTTATAGGTCATACTTTCTGTTCACCGATCACTGTATTAAACATCTCATATGTGTTACTCAGTTTATCTCATTTGTGTATATATTATCTTATTACAACCTTATAAGATATAATCAGTTCTGCATTGTACAGATGAGGGAATTAAGACTTAGAAAAATTCAATGACTTGCTCAAAGCCAAATAGTGTTCATATCTAGAAATTTATCCCTGATCAGTGTGACTCTAGGTTTCTCAATTTTGGGGGCTAGATAATTCTTTGCCCTGTACATTGTAGGATGTTTAATAGCATCCCTGACCACCAGGTGCTGTTTTGACAGCCCAAACTATCTCTGGCCATTGTCAAATGTTTTCCTGATAGGCAAAATCATTTGGGTTGAGAACCGTATTGTCCTACTTCACTTAATAAATACTTAACTAACTGTATGTTCTGTACCAAGCACTGTGTGTATATAAAGCATGAATGAGCAAAACAGACATAATCCTCAATCTCACTGGTGAGGGCTGGCCAGACTTAGAATGGGGTTGGTCATTTTCCAAAGACTGAACTCTTTTTTTTTTGTTTGTTTGTTTGTTTATTGTCAAGTTGGTTTCCATATAACACCCAGTGCTCATTCCAACAATTGCCCTCCTTCATGCCCGTCACTTCTTTTCAACCCTCTTCCCCAACCCCCTCAACCCTCAGTTTGTTCTCAGTATTTAAGGGTTTCTTATGTTTTGCCTCCCTCCCTCTCCTTATCTATTTTTCCCCTTCCCCATCGTCCTGTGTTAAGTTTCTCCTGTTTCACATGTGAGTGAAAATATATGGTATCTGCCTTCTCTGCCTGACTTATTTCACTTAGCATAACACCCTTGAGTTCCATACACATTGGTACAAATGGCCAGATTTCATTCTTTCTCATTGCCATGTAGTATTCCATTGTACAGATAAACCACATCTTCTTGATCTCTTCATCTGTTGATGGACATTTAGGCTCTTTCCATGATTTGGCTGTTGTTGAAAGTGCTGCTATGAACATTAGGGTCCATGTGTCCCTGTTCATCAGCACTCCTGTATCCCTTGGGTAAATTCCTAGCAGTGCTATCGCGGGGCCATAGGGGAGTTCTACTGTCAATTTTTTGAGGAACCTCCACACTGTTTTCCAGAGGGGCTGCGCCAGTTTACACTCCCACCAACAGTGTAGGAGGGTGCCCGTTTCTTCACATCCTCACCAGCATCTATAGTCCCCTGATTTGTTCATTTTAGCCACTCTGACTGGCCTGAAGTGGTATCTTAGTGTGGTTTTGATTTGTGTTCCTTGATTATGAGTGACATTGAGCAATGTTTCATGTGTCTGTTGGCTATCTGGATATGTCCTCTTTGGAGAAGTTCCACAGACTGAACTCTTAACCACATTCTCTACTGCTTCAAAATGAAAGTAGCTGGAATCTTCTATATTCACTATGTGCTAGGCTCTGTGCATGACCTTACACTTGGCAAGCATAAAGTGATGTGAGGGTAAAGATAGTAATAGATGTAGAGAAAGCCCAAACCTAATCGGAGCTGCTGGGTTGTTACTACTCCACCCAGTTGGAGAGAAGACATGGGCACATGTACACATTAGAATACAAGATTACTTATGGGAAATGCCACAGACTTCTAGAGACCTATTTTCCCTGTAACTGTGCTTCCAAACTGTTACTAAAGGATAGGAGATAGAAAAGGGATTCCATAGCTAAATAAGTTTCAGAAATAGGGCTTTCAATACTGTTTTAAAGGTTTCTTTGATGTAAGATTTCTAAGTCTTTAATATAATTTGCATTATCATAACTTTCTGAGAGAGAGTTCTCCTTGGAGACAGGCTTTGGGACTGTTGTTTTGCAGGACCTGCTACATAAATCTCTGGTGAAGACAGTCAGTATACTAGTTCAGCCGTTGAGGCCAAATTAGAGAAGGTTTCTTGGGAGCAGAGCCTTGAACTGGGTCTTACAGGACAGGACGTTTGAAAAACAAAATGGGGGATGTGTATGGCATGGATAATTCAAGACTCCATGAATGAATTAGTTTGCTTGAAATGAAGGGTTCATGTGGGATAATAAGGTTGAAGATATAGCTTGAAGCTAAATCTTCTCTCACCTCAGAAGTCTGTCCAGGGCTCAACTGAGCAAAGGGATCTTCAGATATGATCTGGTAGACAAGCAAGAGGGTGCAACAAGATGAACATATAGTCTTAGGAACAGGACTGTTCCCTATGATAATAGGTCAAGCCTGAAGCTATAAAAGAGATCAAGAAGGCACTGTAAGTCCAAGCAAGCATGGGCTGAGCTGGGCAGAGGCAGGGAAGAGCAATCAGTCATGGTAATCTTAGACATACCAGTAAGGTCCAGAGGATACACAGTCCAAGTTTCTTCCTAGCTTATACTGCTCTCCTGTTTGTCATAGCTTTTGGGGAGTGAATGGCTCTGGGATGGCAAACATTGGCGGTCAGGAGGAAGTGGGAGGCCCACAAGTGAGTTTGTACATTTTCAATTCAGAAAATAGAAGGAGTAGGGTTACCTCAGATTTCCTTCTCTTCACATGCTCTTCCATAATCTGAAACTTCTTAGGGAGATTGTGGAGATACATGTGTGTTAAAGTATGGCATTTAATTATTGCTTTTGAACTTTAAATAGGAATTGAATTGGGAATTATTATCACAAGCATCTTTTCACCATTGGGAAAAAAATTTTCTTAAATAATGATATACAGAAATGGTACCTTTTAAATAAATGAGACTAGTTTTGTTTATATCAAGTGAAAAAATACTGGAAGCAGAAAGGGAATAATATTCACTTAGAATATAAGTGGTATTTATGGCATCTGTAATCATTTTGTTCTTTTTGTACACTATTCACTTTTCTTCTCATTATAGCATTCATTAGCTGGTTCTTGACAATTTTTGCAAAATGAAAATGAAGATATGAAACTTTCCCAGTGTCTTTCTAAAGTTATTCTGGTCAAAACAGCAGAATTCATTGTCAGTAATAGTGAATTATTTATTGATGTTAAATCTCCTTTTTCCCCCTCCTTCAAGATCCCGATAGCTTTATAGAAATGCAGTTCTTGTGAATGTAATATAACCTTACCTTGTAAATTAATTTAAGGGTATTTGATAGGGAAATGTTTACCATTTCATTAGCTTCTTGACCCAAGTGAAAGCTATGCATATAGCTCAAAGTCTCTGCTATTGAGACTTTGGTTGGTTTTCTGATGCAAATAGATAAATGCTACAGTAATTTTGGATGAGAGAGTTGGGAAAGGATTTATTGAAGAGATGATACCTGAACTGAATTTTGGAGGAAGGGTAAGATTTAAGTAAGTGGAAAAGAAGAAGGAGAATATTTCCAGTTGGAGGAATTATGAGAATAAAGAAAGTATTAAATAACAATGAATGAACCAGTTTTGCTGAAGAAGGCAGTCATGGAAGGATGGGAAGGATTGTAGAGGAAGTCTGGGTTGCTTGGCCAACCTGTCTAACTGTAGCCTACAGGCTATTGCTTCCCACAGTGTGTTTCTGCCATTAGTGGATCTGAGGGGTGGTAATGTGTGTTCCTTGCAAAAAGGAAGTTCTGTGGTCAAATATGCTCAAGAAATACTAGTTCAAGATAAAATGATTCTCCAAGGAGTAGAGTACAAGTGGTATTTTCCCATGAACACAGACCCCTTCTCCCACACAGCATGCTGAGCATATCTGAGATTCATTGTGGGGTTTGGAGCAGGAGTGTGATGTGCACAAAATGGTTTAGAAATGTTATCTTGGTAGCCACATGTGGATCAAATTGGAGGGGGGTTGGAGGAGGGTGTAGGTCAGACAGGGGAAATGTGCTCGTGCAGGAAGTACCAGGGAGACTGAACATCTCTCAGACAAGTTCAGGGTGATGTATGAAGATCATGTTGACCTGGATGGTTGGCCTGGTGATGGTTGCAAAGCAAAGGAAATGGCAGATGTGAGAGATGTTCAAAAGACATTAAAGTGCTTTTGATTGGTTGTTGAGGGTGGAATATGGTGAGGAATCATGTGTCTCCTTGGATCTGAAGTAGAGTGGCTGGAACAACTATGATGTCCTTGATGGAAATTAGCAGGTCAGGAGTGTTGGGTTTAATGCCTGGCTTTGCCAATAACAGTTGCGACCTTAAATGAGCCATTTGATATCTCTGGGCTTTGTTTGCCTTGTACACAAAATAAGAATGTTGAGGTAGGACACTTAGATCTTTTTTTTTTTTTTTTTGACTCATAAGTTTTGATTCTCCAGTTTGGAGCAAACTCTGAGCTCCTTAAGGTCAAAGAGTGCCTTATCCTTATCCATGCCCCAGACCTTCCACAGTGCCAGTAGATGGATGGAGGGAGGGAGGAAGGGAGGGAGGGATGGAAATCAGTGGGTGATGATGAGTTTGGCTCTGAATATGGTGAATTTGAGATGACAATAGATATCCAAGATATTTTGGAAATGCAGTACTAAATTTGTAAAAGTTGAATCAGAAGTAGAAGCAAGATTTGTGAGTACTATATAGAGATCTTCATTGAAGGCATGTAAAGAAGATGGAAATTCGAAGAGCAGAGAAAACTAGGAAAATTGCACAGGGTCCAGGACAATCCCCAGATGCTCACCTTTGGGCACCTTTTCTCTCTCTAAAAAGAGAAGAGTAGCTGTAAATTTACAGAACGGTGTCTAAGAGGAAAACCAGCCAGCTGAGAGCTCATCACCATATCTTACATGTCTTTCTACCCTTTTCTGGTGGGTTCATCACCATTGTCTCCTGAAGTTCTCGTCTGTATCTTGCTTGTGTATTAGATCAG